CTTAGATCCTGTCAATGTTTTCACTCCTGTGGATTTAAACTCCTCAACCTTGCCCACATCCGGTCCCTGACTAGGTCCGCCTTCTTCCACCTCTGCCACATTGCCCGCCTCTGACCGTACCTTACACCAAATGCTGCCGAAACCCTTGTGGTTGCGTTTATCACCTCCCGCCTGGATTACTCAAATGCACTCCTCGCCAGCTTCACTATTCAAAACATCCAGCTCATTCAGAACTCTGCTGCCTGCATACTGATCACACTTTCAACCACTATGCCCCAAAACTCTGGAACACTCTCCCTCAATCCCTCCACCTTGCTCCCTATCTCCCCTTTTTCAAGTCAAGTCTGAAAACCTTTTTCTATAACCGTGCTTATGGCCACCTCCCTCCCCCCCGGCTTGGAGTCAGGATCCGCCACTGTTAAGAGCTCTGAGATGCTACCCAGTGTGAAGGATGCTAGTTGTTGTTGTTTATATGATTATTACCCCAAAGAGTGCTATATCTATCTATATACTAATAAAACAACAATATGTGTCTGCGCTTCAAGAAGGATCTCAATAACCGATTGACGTAGAGACATAGTTCATACCTCATCGTAAAGGCCTTGTAACTAGGAGTGACATGGGCATATTCTTTAAGGGGACGTATATACGCACGCACTGCAGTTACACCTGGTGATGGTGGGGCTGTGGCATTCTGCGTCACAGAGCATGTAGCCAAGCGGCAGGGAACAAAATAAAGAACACAGACGAAGCTAAGCCGCGGCAACAACAACATTTTTTTTTAAAGTGCCTTTCACATCGGGAGGATGTCTCAGTGATCATAAATTATACATTTATATTTATCATTATAAAGATGCCTAATTGAAAATGAAACCGTTCAAGGATAAGTAAAAATGATAGACAAAAGAGAGAAGGCCCATTAAATGAAACTGAAGAACAAAGAACAGCGTGGCTGCACTTCAATGCTGAAAGGACTGCAGCAGCGTGCCAAAATGAGTTGCCCACTCAAAGGACTGCACGGCCAAAATGAGTTCTTCCACAGAAGTCCTCCCAGATGAGTATAGATAAAGATGAAATGTTTGTCTGTGTGACGGTCTGTGTGTCAATCTACATTCCATATTGGATCCTTTGGTTGCAAGCGTAGCTGCAATGGGTACAGCTAGTTTATAATAAATAGATGGAGATGGGGCGATTAATCTAAAAAAACATTTTTATGGGCACTTGTTATGAAATATGTAGGTTATATGTAAGATCACAAAAGAACAAATTAATGCACAAATTGTCTATTATAATCTAAAAATATTTTATAATGTTCCACTATACACATTGAATTGTTATTTTGAACTTTAGGACAATAGAATTTACAGCACAGAAGAAAGTTATTCAGCCCATCCTGTCTGTACTTTTTGAGATCAATCCTTTCACTCCTGTTTACCTACCCTTTCCCCATATGCCTATAGTTTAGTCATTATTAGATATTTAGTTACCTTTTGAAAGCAAAAATGGATTCTGTGTCATACACTGCACCCAGCAGGACATTCCATATCCTAACTAATCTGCATGAAGAAAATTTCTAACCTTCCCATTTGCTTGTTTGCTAAATATCTGATATTGGTGCCCTTTAAACACTGACTCACTGACCATACTGATGGTTGTGCTTTTTGCACAGCAAGGGGTGAGCCAAGATATTTGTTGTTGGATCATAGGAGATGTTCAAATGAAGAAGAATTTTTGGCCCATTTGATGTCATTCTTCCAGAATATTAATTCTACCATCATCCCAATACAACAGAGGAAATAATGATAAATGCAGTCTGATTCATAAGGATTTCAATTTTTTCAGTGGCTGGGCTGATGAGTGGCAGATGTAGTTTAGTGTGAATTAATAGAAAAATAATTTGTCATTCATCCGTTTATCAAGAAAGAAATTTTGTGATTATAGTGAAAAACAAATTCCATTAGAGGAGGGATAGGGATCAAAATGTTACACAATACAAAATTAGATTTGTATAGTGCCTTTCACGTCGGGAAGATGTCCCAAGGTGCTGGACAGTCAGGGATTTGGACCTGAGCTGGGGGTTGGGATCAGGGAGGATAGGAGGGTGGCTGAATGCTTGGTCGAAGAGGAGGATTTTGAGATGCGCCTTGAAGGAGGCAAGGGAGGGAGTGAGGCGAAGGAAATGTGGGATGGAGTTCAATAGAGTGGTGGCTGAAGACCCGACCGCCGATGGTGGGGTGGGCTGGGAGTGATGTGGAGCAGGCCGCAGTCATATTGTTACTGTATAAAATATGTAGCATACTCATCTGTAACCCTACATTTGAAACCCAAACCAATTTGTGTGACTCAGAAGCTGATTTTATTTTTGGTCACTGTTGATGAGCTGGGGCTTCGAAGCCCTATGTTGCAAAATAATTAGCATCTCTGAAGATTAAAAGCGACCCTAGTTATGTCTTGTGTCCAAATCTAAATTATTGTAGATTTTTGTTTTGCTTTGACTATTCCATTGAAGTGTTACAGGGCAGCAAAGTTAAATCAGTCCTCGTTGTTTGTGACTTTGTGGAGTTAAAATGTGAACTTTGGAAGAATATATGTGACTGTTACTGTAGTTGCTGCAAGATCCGATACCCCAACCCATGTTTTATAACACTCAGCTGTCATAACTGATAACAAATCAAACATCCCCCTTAAGACACTCCAAAAAAAACACCCTAGAATTTAAGTGTAATTTCAGATTGTAAATGAAGAGAAGAGGCTTGAATGTTCATTTGCACCAATCATGCCTCCCTTTCATCTGGTCTGATTAGGCCTAGTGCAGTTTCATCAAACTATTCAATCACAGACCTGTCATTCCAGCCGTCTGTTGATTGAAAACAATCATTGCTCTGATGGCACAATTATTCTGACCCTTTAAGTAGAGGCTGCTGTGATAATGAAAGGCTGATTATGATAGTTTGTGCCTCTTTCAGTTTCCTGAGAAGGTTAATTTGGGCATCAGACGGATATTTAATGTGTGCTTGCTGGCTACACTGAGGTAAATGAGAACGTGCCATCTCGGATATTGCATGGATATAGCTCAGCTGTCAATCATTGTCATTTACAGTTCGTGTCTTGAACACTAGAGATTGTATTTTAGTTTCTTTCCTTGTGATGTATTTATTTCTGCCTTGAGGAAGTTCATTTGCTTGGCTGTGACCTTCACAGTCTTTGATCAGAACCGCTGAGAGTTCTCTTTGGCTGTCAATGAGAACAAGGTGCCAGTCAATTGAGGAAAAACCTGCAGGGTCAATTAAACATATTAGTGTTAATCAGCTTGATAAGGGGCATCTGCTGATCATTTTTTTAAAGAACTGTGGCTATTGTAAATTATTAAAAGAAGTTGCCACACAAGTATTTAACTTGGTGTTTTGTCAGTAACCTCAGTTTAAAATCAGTCTAGATTGTTCATCATTAAAAGACCTTGTTTTTTATTTTAAGTTTCTATTAAATTCCTCTCGAGTTGTGCAGTGAGTAATGGAAGAATGGTGTTTTGTCCACAAATGGAAAGTTAAAATATTTGCATTCCATTATAGGACATTATAAAAAGCCCAAAGCCAAATTAAAAGTCCTTGGCACTCCCATTGTGGATTCTGCACAGCAGTTATCTTTGTTGTCTACCAAAGACAGCTCTTCAGGGCTTCTTCAGTGATCCAGGCCTAAAATCTGAGATCGGTCAGTATCCCTTGAGTAAGCCTGGAGAGACGGTTTTCTATGTTCACAAATGGCAAGAGAGGTTGTAAAATTTAAAAGGATTTTGAGTGCGAAATAGCATTTACAATGTTTTAGTCAAAACATTATGTTTGACAGGGGAGGTTAGAAGGTTACTAAGCAAACACAATTCTGGAGCTCTGCTACCTGGCGATAATCACTGGTTAGTTATTTTTAAAATGTTGATGAGCCCCTTTGCTTTAATGACATTAAAAGTGTTCGCTTATAAAACTTTTTGTTCAGCCCATCCAAGTGATTGTGGGGACATAAATAACTTCTCAAGGTGCTTTCAGCACAGGTGTCGCCAGCATAATTGGCTTCAAGATTGCAAATAGTGAACTGGATTTATAATGTTTTTTAGAGTCAATGTGGCAATGTTTTCAGATTGAACAGCTCCCCATGAACACTCCATAGAATGGGCATAAATTCCCTCTGTGTTGATCTAACAATGCACCTTATTCCTACCCTCAGAAAACCACTGTCAAGTATGACAGTGTGACTTTTCTATTTCATAACTAAGCGGCACTATAATGCTTCATAGAAATTTAAGGGTACTTCATAGCAGCTACTTACATTTGTAAACAGAAGTACAGAATGTACTGTACATTATTTATCTTTTAATTCTGTAGCAATTTGGTCAGACATTTTTGATATACTGGACCAACAATGAGTAGTTAAAATTTAAATATAGCATTTTATTGTTCCTTTTCAAATTGAAATGTGACAGAGTGCTTCTACAGCAATAACTTTCAAGTGCAGTGACTGGTTCTGTAGGAGGTAATGCGCTGTCACATTTCTCAGAAAATATTTTGAGTTGCGTCTTAATATTGCAGAAAATTGAACTGAGGATTGGCAAAGGAATAAATACTGTAGTATCTTTCTAATTTAGTGCAGTTTGTTTATTGGGGTGCTTGAAATTACAGTATTATTCACTCACAACAAAGAAAAATTTTGCAGAGGAAGTTTTGGGTGAAGAAAAGAGAATCACTTTGAAGTATGTCACCAGATGTTTTTCAATCTTAGGTTGAATACCATTCTGAGATTTATGTTACAAAATGTGACCTGATCCCCTTATTTTATGCAAACTGTTTGGAAACAATTTCTGTTTCAAATGAAATTAAAAATAAAAACAAAATTTTAAAGTTTAAATTTGTAACTGTAGAAGCCCCAGAGATGTTATAATTGATAGGCTTTTAAAAGATGTTGGAAACTGCCTTCTAAATCTCATGACTAAGTTGCTTGTTTTATTTTGACAGCTGGCAGCGAGGTGGTTGGAGCACGGCTGTCGGTATCAGTACATGGATGAACTCTTACAGTACATACGCTTTGGCCTAATGGATGTCGATACACTTCACGCTGTGGCCCTGTCTCACCCTTTGGTTAAGGCCAGTGAAACTGCTACGTCTTTCATTAATGAGTCTTTGGAGTACCACCAGAGCATCTATGCACAGCCCATATGGCAAACTATCAGGACACGACCTCGCTTCCAGTCAGAGACGCTCTACATTGTAGGTGGGAAGAAGCGTGAAATTTGCAAAGTGAAGGACCTGAGGTACTTCAATCCAGTGAACCAAGAAAATGTTCACATCGCAGGGATTTCCAATTGGAGCGAGCTGTCTCAGATGCCTGTGGGTAGAAGTCATCATTGTGCGGCTGTGATGGGAGACTTCCTTTTCGTGGCGGGTGGGGAAGTGGAGCATCCCACAGGTCGCACATGTGCAGTGCGGACAGCGTGCCGTTACGATCCTCGCAACAACAGTTGGACAGAAATAGCTCCAATGAAAAACTGCCGTGAGCATTTTGTGCTGGGAGCCTTAGGTGAATGTCTCTATGCTGTGGGTGGAAGGAATGAACTGCGTCAGGTCTTGCCCACAGTGGAGAGGTACTGTACGAAAAAGAATAAGTGGTCTTTCGTGCAGTCGTTTGACAGATCGCTGTCCTGCCATGCTGGATGTGTAGCCGATGGCCTTCTCTGGATATCAGGTAAGGATATAACTGTTTAGAATTTATTTTGTTGTGTTGATCATCATATATACTCAGACCAGCGACCATCGCTTTATAGTCCTGGTTTGAATAAAGACAAAAGTAGATTTACCTTAAATAAGAATTGATGCTCAATCATGACATTTATAAATTGATAACTGGGATAGCTCATTACAAGACTAACACAATGGAATCCAAAACATATCCATATGAATTTCTAATGGAATTCATTCTTCAGAATAACTGTAGGATCTTGTAAACTCTTTCAGTAAGTAAATTACATTGGATTAGAGTTCTCATGAACTAGCATGAAAACAGCCATAAATGCTTAAAGGAATGTTTCAACAAGACAAATGAAGGTCTAGAATTGCATGAGTGATAGGATGTGGCTCGGTCTTCTTAGGTTTGCCTGCAAATACATTCTCCACTTTACTGTCAAATCCTGTGAATCTGCTTGAGAAGCTCAGTGCTCTGAGATGCTACCCTGTATGAAGGGAGCTATATAAATGCAAGTTGGTCTGATGATATGATAAGGCACGATATCAAATGCAAGGTTTATTAATTACCAGGTCTGTGCTTGTAAACAGAGCATACAGCAGGCTACAATTTTGATTGTCCACCAACTTTGATTATTCACCGATTGGAAGATTCCTTCAGATAATCAGTCGCAAAGTAAATTAAATTGAATCATGCGCAGTGATGACTTTGCCAGTCACTGATAGAAGTGTAAATGTTTTTAATAGGGGCTTCTGGTGCCATTTCAACTTCTATATGGATGACAGAAATGCATCACTTATGTCAAAACATAATATGGTGCATTTGTAATTATCAGTCACAATTAGTAACAAAATACTGCAATCATTGCTCCAGTGATCAAAAGCACAGCAGCTGCTACCACTCCAGTACAAACCACAAGTCATGAATTACAGGCTGAAAATCAGGATGAATAGAAAGTGAGGTTAGCAAGTTGAATTTAAAAATGTATGGTTGGTGGGGGAGGAGGTTGGTGAGTTGCAGTTCATTTCAGAACCTACACCAGAAATGTGAAGTGTTAAATGTGCTTATTTTCTGGTGCAACTGGGAAGTAGTCTGTATCAAAACTCAAATAGGGCAAAAAGTGAGATTATAACCTGTGGGTATCAAATCTACAACTGTTGAATTTTTTATGTTACATTTATATAAAGATAATGCTTTTTAAAAAAAAACATAGAAGCAATGGGGGATGTCCACTGATCACATCATTGTGTTAGATATAATTGTGAAGTAGCCTTTCAAAGACAAGCTACCTGATGATAATCTGCCTCTCATTATTCATAGTACTCAAGGTCACTGTTGGTGACAGACCAGCCAGCCTGACTCATTAGCAGTCCTTGGATGGGCAGACTGGTGGGTCACTAGGGATTGAGATTCTTTCCATTTAGCTTCTCTTAACCCTGCAAGCCAAAGCCCTAACTGCCGGGCAGGTTCTCGATAGACAAGCAGCAGGAAGCTTGCCAGACACTGTGTTCACACTCGTACCGGGAATAATGAAATCTATGCAGTTTTAGCGGTTAAACTCCAGTAGAACCTCACTGCATACTTTGCGATGCCCAAGCCTTGGATCCTGCCAACCTGTGCCTACTATCCTTTTTAATTATTCACACATGTCACTTTTGAGTCCACAACAGTTGATTGGTCCTCTTCTTAACAACTATGGTTGCATGTATTTGCGTTCCACATTAGTGACATGATGGCTGGTACTAGGCTTGAGGAATCTGAGAAGGTGGACAGGATTTTACAATAGTAACTCAACAGTGTAGAAGTAATAATAATAATCCTTGCAATTGTTACAGGGCCTTTCACACTGGGGAGGATATTCCAAAACACTTCACAGGTTTTACTACGAAGTGAAGTACTGTAATTATTTATTTGTAGATGAGCTTGGCAGCTCAAAGCGCATAGCAATGTCCCACAAATAGCTGTAAAATGAAAATGAACAATTTTATTTGGGGGATTGTTGGCCAAGACATTGGACTGGAGAAACGCCCTTCTTTTTTTGACTCGTGCCATGAGATCTTTAACATCCACCTGAACAGGCAGAATGGATCTTGGTTTGACATCTCATCCAATGGACAGCACCTTTGACAATGCAGCACATCCAACACTGTATTGGAGTGTCATGTTAGATTATGGGAGTTCAAGACCCTATTTGGAGAGTGTGCAATACAAGATTCCAAAAGGAAATACAAAATAGTATTAGAGAGAGTAAGAGCTGGAAAGGAATGGAGCAACACGAGAAAAGATGTTTTATTTGGTGTGGATCACTTTTTTAAAACAAAGTATAATTGGACCATAGACAAAGAGGATCTGTTGATTGGCACGTGATCAGATTTATTTCATAGCAAATGCAAAGTCCCTCGTGTCCATTTAGAGATGTAGAATTGTGAATTTTGTAAACATTTGAAACGTAGCTCACTTTCCATTTATGCAACAGCCCCTTCAAGTTAGAAAAGAAAAATTGTGATCTAGAACCAGTGAAACAAACCTCCTGAATGACTCCTTACCCAGCGCCATGTGATTTAATTACAGTTGCAGTATTCCCAGCTCCTCAGTGTGCTGATTACACTCCTGGGGTGGCAGATGGAATGAAGTGTTGATCTATGTGGTACACTCATTCGGGTGAGCCCTGGAATCTATGCAGGGCTTTGATTACAAGGGATGCTGTGCCAGCATGAGGTAACATAGCCTAACAGCAGAGAAATCAGCTTGATGACTTTTGAGGAGTTATACAGGCATCACCACCACCCTCCCCCCACCCCGTAGTAAGCAAATTGAACAATAAAGGCACTCTAATTTATTATCTGTTTCAGTACAGTTGAATCTGTATGCAAATCCCATCACTTCTTTCTGGTAGATTAGTATGAACCTGGAGTGCAATACATGAAATGAATATGGATTACAGAACACAACGTCTCAAAGCGCTCACAGAATATACTGCAATATGATTTGACTGTATATTTTGTGGGTGAAATGCAGCAATTGCGCACTGCAGTGTCCCACAAACAGTCATGGATTGCATGACCAAATTATTATTATTGATGGGATCATACCATCGGATAGACATAACAACAACAAATCGCATTTATATAGCGCCTTTCACATCGGGAGGACATCCCCACTGAACAGTTGAGGGGCTGCACCCAAGTTGGATTCGGGAGGGGTGAGAGGGCGAAAATGACCAAAGGTACAGTCAAAGAGGAAGGTCTTCAGGTTGGTAAGGTTTCAGAAGGTCACAGAGATAAGGTGGGGCAAGACCGTTGAGGGAATTAAAAGTGATGATGAAAATCTTGAACAGAGTTGGTTTAGTCTCGCCTGGATCTGGTGAAAGCATAGGTAATGGTCTTGGTGGCCTGAGGGGAGAGGCGTGGTAGAGGTGGGTGATGTTGTGGAGGTGGGGAAAAGCTGAACGGATCAGGGCACAGATATGAGGTTTGAAGAACAGTTGAGGGTCGAACAAAACACTGAGGTTCTGCACAGGCTCTGTGAGGTGGTCATGTTAACTGATTTGAGCGAAATATTGGATAGCATGATAATTATATCACAAGTTTCCATCTCATCTTTCTCTACAAGGATATTGATGGTGTCCTGGTGGCAACTAAATTGTCTCTTAAGATGGAATCTTGCCAGGCAATGGTAAGACATAAAAGAAAACTTCTGATTTCATCTTATTTGTTTTGTTCGAACTGCAAACCTACCCCAACCTGAGAGGAATGTACTGTTTCTTTTAATTTACTTACCATTCTGCTGTTTACCTATGTGGACCTTAAGCTGGTATGAATGTTTCTATTTACTTTTAATTCCCAGTGGTTTATTTGGCTCAAAGTCCACTCTCTTCCTCCCCCCCCCCCCCTCCGCCCCCCTGTCAGTTTCATTTAGTGGTTATCTAATTAAATAATAATAATCCTTGCACTTGATATACCACTTTTTCACGTTGCAAACAGTTTCAAAGTGCGCCACTGTGAACAGTCATGAATCTATTTGTACGATAATTACATTTCTGATGACCTGTGGAAACATACATTCACAATCGCATCGGACAACCATATTTTGAAAGATATTTTTGATTTTGTGAATTGTTTACCTTCCTGTAGGTGCCTGTCGTTTCATTTGCCTCCTCACATCAGCAGCCAGCCTAAAGCTGTATATTACAGAGCAGTGCAGGTGATCTAAGAGTGGCTTCATGGTCTATATTGTTTTGGATCATCCTCAGGCCAAATAAATGTACCATAGCTAGAAACGTTTGGCATTAGACTAGATGACTGTTCAGTCAGTCAGTCTCTGGGTACTCAAACATCACATGCTACTGAAGACCCCAAAATGGCGCATTTGCACCTAAAGAAAAAATCACTAAATAGTAAATTTAGCGGGATGTGTTTTTAATTTTTTAATATTAAATTCTCACTGAACGGCTTCCAACTCTTATCAGGGAAATGGAGAAAATAAAAGCATGTAAATACTGTGAGCTTCATCAAAGCAATCATTTTAGTATCGCAATCTATAATGCAAATAAATATTCAGTAAAGCTTATTTAAGGTAGCACAAGAAGAACAGAAGAGTGAAAGGAAAGCAGATGCATTTTTTAACTTAGATAATTGCTGGGGTGTGAAAAGCCTTGCCAAGTAAGGTGATGAAGGCAGAATCGATTGTGGATTTCAAGAGGGAAGTAGACAGATATATGAAGGTTAGAGGCTGAAGGCGTAAGGGGATAAAGGGCGACAGTGGACTTGCTCTAAAAGCGGGTGTGGACTCAATGAGCTAAATGGCCTCTTTCTGTGCTATAAATTTCTATGATTATAAATCAAGCATAATGAAGAAATTTAAAGAATTCTCTATGCTTAAGATGCCTGGAATCCTCAAACAAAAACAGGTTTTGAGTGAGTCTCTGGTTAATTCTTTTAAGAGCTCTGCAAATTTTGAACTATACGTAATACAATACAAAATTACATTTGTATAGTACCTTTCATGTCGGGAGGACTTCCCAAGGCGATGTTTGGAACTCAGCAGCTGTTATCCCAATACTCATTAGCTGCCCTCCTAGCTCGGGAAATCAGTTAGTTGTGTGAAGCGCTTTGAGACGTTCCCCTCCTCCTCCCCCACGTTATGAAAGGCACTATATAAATGTAAGTTTTATAGCATTTTTGCCTTTTTCTTTGCTCAGAGGATAATTCATGATTGGACCAGGTTGCCAGGAATATGGTTGAGCCAGGACACAGGACTCAGTTTGATGCTGTGATAGGGGTACAGTACGGTGACTGTTCTGGAAGATGAAATCGGATTAGTCAAACAACTTTCTTCATCCAAACCAATCTTGTAATCCAATGATTTCCCCACCCCCTTCTAAACTGTTTTCTTTATAGCTGATCCTCTATACACTTTCAGTCTTGTAGCTCACTTGAGAACCTTTCCTAATGCAAGTTGTATTTTTTGGTGACCAATAGTGAACACTGCATTTGAAGTGTGGTTTGAGAAGTGCATTGTAAACTTTAGCAAACTGTTGCAGACTTGTATTCTACCATTGTTGCTATATATTTGAGGGGCATTCTGCTTTTTAAAAATGAATTTATCATATTGTCTGTGATTATGACTCCTGTTATTCCCAAGTCTTTCAAAGTCTCTCTGTTCTGCCTCGTGGAATGTTTTCTACCTACATGTAATTCCTTACATTTGGCAGTATTGCATTTCATTAGCCATGAGCCTGCCTATTTGCAAAACCCAGTCGAAATCATTCACAAATCTTTTGGTGCATCACCTTTTGTTGCAACAACTTGCATTTATATAGGGCCCTTCACATAAGAGATTGTCACAGAATGCTTTACAGTGACAGAGGTTGGATGGCTACCAGGTGAGAGGGGGAAAAGGGGAGGTGGCATGATTGGGGGTTTTAAGGCAGGTTTTGAAGACCGAGAGTAAGGGAGTCCAGTGGTTGGGGGCATAAAACTTGAAAGTCTGGCCACAAACCGTGGCGCAGAGGATGGGGGATTTGCAGAAGCCTGAGTTTGCCAAGTAGAGGGGATGAGTGGGGTAAGCGAGATCAGAGAGATAGGGAGGTGCTAAAGCATGAAGGGATATGTGAATCAAGGTAAGGATACTGAAATAGAGACCGTGGAGCTTAGCAAGGACTGGGGTGATGGACATGTGGAGTATAGTGCAGGTTATGCTGTAAAGGTATATTTTACCAGTGTATAATTTTGATAACATATCCTGGTGTATATGTTTTTTATAATCCTTACATGTGGATTGAATGCAATAAATAATGAAGAACTGACTCTTGTGGGACTTCACCAACAATCTTTCTCTACTCTTTTCTCCCCCCTCCTCCCCCACAGCTTATACTTCTCATGTGTGCTCTTCTTCCCATGATCAACAAGTTTTATTCAGTCTCATGTTCTATACAGGATTCCTGTGCCTCTTAGTTTAATTAGAAGTCTTTCATGTGGAACGTTTGTCAGAAGCTTTTTGAAATTCTAAATTAACTATAGCATGAGGAGTCCTTGTACCTATTTCATCTGTCTCAACCAAGTCAAGGAGGTTTGTCGGGAATGATCTTTCCTAAATCCAGGCACTCCAACAACCCCGGCACTGTTTCTTAAGTTATTGCTACATATACAATATTCTTAAATTATTTGGAAGAGCATTTCTTGTAACATAAATTTGCTGATGTTATCAAACGAGAGGGTTAGATGAAAAGTAGGGAAATAAACCACATTCAAAAATGTCTAAATCATTTAAACGTTCAAACATAGGGCTTAGGAATGGATACATTTTTAGATAAGTAAATATAATATAAATATTGGAGCAGGAAGCAGCAAACATAACAATAATGTTGTATTTGTGTTATAATCCTTACATGTGGATTGACAACAATAAATAGTGAAGAATTGACTCTTGTAGGACTTCACCAACAGTCTTACATTTGGTATTGCACCTTTCATGTCAAGAAAATATTTCAAAGTTCCTCACAGGGTATACTGTAAAGTGGAGTGACCATAAATTTTTCAGGTGAACACAGCTGCTAATTTGTGCAATTTTCCACAAACAGCCATGAAGTGAATGACCAATTTTATTTGGGGGGATTGTTGGTTAGGACACCAGAAGAAACTCCCTTCTCTTCAAATAATACCATGGGATATTTTATGTCCATGTGAACAAATGGGACCTTTAATGTCTCATTCAGAGAGTGGCACTTCCGACAGTCTCAATACTGAATGGAGTGTCATCCTCGATTGCGGGTGTGTTCTGAAACGGATCCTGAATCTGCAACTTTCTCATTCGGAGGTGAGAGTGCTACCAACTAAGCCAAGCTGACGCTTACATGGATAAAGGAGCATCTAATAGCAGCAGTGGAAAGGAACAAGGATATGAGTGTAATTCATTGAATGTCACTAGTGAGGCTATCGGCAAACTGTTACACAGATGGTGTTGAGAATGTGGAATTGGTGAGACTATTTAATACATTCATTGTGCCTTCGAAAGGATTTAATGCTGCAAAGCTAGTTCACAGAAATACAGCAATGTTGCCTCCAGGTCTTGACGCTTTGCAAATCTCTCACAATTTAGAATTGAATTTATTAATGGGAAACCCAGCAATGTATTGCACTCAACTTTCATTTTATACAATTTTGTTTATAGTATTTGGCCAATAGCTCTGAAGAGAGGTGTTGAGAAATGAGAAATGTAGCATTTTAATGTGAACATGCCATTGCATCATCATTGTGCTAGAACTAATACTTTCTTTTAATTTGCGGTAGGTGGAGTAACCAACACAGCTCAGTACCAGAACAGACTTACAGTATTTGATCCAAGCCAGGTAGGCGACACTGCTACTCTGAGAATTGGTCTGAGTTTAGATGACTGTATGCATGTGTTTTTCTCACACTTTGTTTCATGGGAAAGAAAACGTTTTTTTAAAAAGAAAACTTTCACAAACTTTCAAAAGAGTTTTATATCGCCCCCTCTTGGTGATCCGAGTTTGATCGCTTGTGATCTAATTGATCCTGCTTCTCATTAAACCAGTCCTTGGCATCAATTTGTTGTACCTTTAGACAGGTGGAACACTTATTGCTGGTATGTGAGAATGTAATTTATCTCTCTCTTCATTTTCTATTCCTCCTTTTTTCCCCAATTGTCAGCTGGAAATTTATTTTTTTTGTCACATTTTTAATTGCAAACATTATGTTGGTTTGGAAATGTATCCCCACGTAGACAACGACAATAACAGCTTATTCCAACAAATCCTTGTGGTATTTGAAATGGACCCATTGCTGTGTTTGTTCACATTGGCAGAGAATATGAAGTACATTTCAGATCGCTTCTTCCTGTTTTAATTATGACTGAGAACTTTAAATATAAAATGTACTATCCATGTGCCATATTAGTCATACATGTCAAAGAAACCACCTCTATTCAGCAACCACCTGCTGTCAATAACCACCCTGCAACAATCTGGACTGGTTTTCACAATAAACCACCTCTATTCAGCAACCACCTTCCTAACACAACCAGTGGCCACTCGTTTTTTTAGCACTGTCGGTTACTGACACCCTTTTCAGAGGTCAAATCGGGTCCAGTGGGCTACTCAGTGTGGCCTGCAGAAATGTTTCAACCCGTTTCTAATCCTTTACTCTTTAATGCAAAAACGTAAAGAGTTTTTCCCTCCACATTCAGTACTCATATAGCGCATTGTGTGTAGGACCGCCATCTTGAAGTGCTTCACAAAAACAATGGAAGGAGCTAGTGTACGAATGTTGACTAAATATATGTTTTTTTAAAAAAAAAGGTTTTTAAGAACCAGCGAGAGAAGGTAAAAGGGATATTTGAAAGTGACTTCTAGAGAGCAAGCAAAGCTTAGCCATCAATAGTGGTAAGAAGCAGGAGAGGGGAATAGGGCTGAAGGAGATTGCAGAGGTCGAGAGGGGTAAGATTGTGAAGGAATTTGAAGGTCAGGACTCTATTTGCTCACAAATGACCACAGGATTCACTTGCTTACATTCCTTAGAAAAACACTAATGGGAATTTTTGCCTAACATTGACATTGTATTTAATATCTTAAAGCCAGGCATTTTGCAATGTTATTAAGAGAAATTAATTCTGCTTGTGTTGAGCGTAGCCTGCAGACCGTACTTCATATTAGTTCATAAATCATTAGGACCAAAAATGCATACTGAACCATTTACTAATAGCTGTAGTGTACAACTATATATTTCATTTGAAAAAGGTAAATTTGATCTGATTTGAAATGTGAGTGTCGTAATGGTAATAATTCTTGCATTTGATATTTAACCATCTATAACTTTCAGGTTTCACAAAGATAAATGCTGTCAAAGGTTTAAAGTTGTAAAGAACAATTTCAGCACAGATACTAACAAGTTTCTTTATGCAGCGGGTAATCAAAGACTGGAACAAGTTGCCAGGGAAGGTGGTAGAGGCCAGAACACTGGACTCATTTAAAGAGCAACTTGATGTTGTGATGGTGGGATGAGTAAATGGGTGTTCATGAAGTGAAGAATCTTTTGATCTGGAGATTGTTGGCCAGGTTTTGGGATAAACTTTGTTCTCTTTTCAAATAGTGTCATGCGTTCTTTAAAATCCACCTAAACAGGCTGAAAAAAACTCAGTTTTTCATGTCTCATCCAAAAGCTAGCACTTCCAACCAGCACCCCACATGTGTGTCAGCCTAGATTGTATAGAGCCCAAGCATACTCGTGCAGCAGTCTTTATGGTGTACTACAAGAGGGTAAACAGGATCCCTTTGATCACTGGAGCAAATTCAATATTTTTCATAGATCAATGCACCTGCAATTTCATTTTGTGGGCTGATTTTTTTTTAATCAAAATGCAAAGCAAACTATACAGTGATACTGGTGTATTGTGTCCTTTGATTAAAAAATGTTAAAAATGAAAAGAATATTATTGAATGCAGTTTTTTAAAAAAAAATTACTGCAGTAATCCAAGAGTGATTCCAGTTGAGTCTGAATGTGTGTTTACATGCACGTTCAGCCTTTTTGAAATTCATGTGGCATATTGTTTGGATATAGCTACTGACATTAGTCACATCTGGAAGTGCATGGCTCTGAATCCCAATATCTCTATCATTTGGTATACGAGTTTGTTTCTTTTTCAGGGCATTGTCAAGTGTGGATAATAGCTACCATCTGCCAAGGAGCACATATAGATACCTGCTGAGAAGCAATGACCCCTGCTTCCTCCATAATGATTAGTAGTGGCTTCTCAGTTGATTAGGAATGATCCCTGCAATGCCCTAAGTTTCAGTTCCTTATGGCGCCCAGGAGCTCACCTGCCAGGCTGTGCTATTGAGGGAAGAGGAGGCTTTAATTGAAGAACCTAGGTGCATCGTCTAGCAAACAGATGGTGCTTATAACCATTAGTCAAGGGTTTGAGGTGTTGAACTATTTTTTATATCAGAAATATAATTGTGCATTGTAAACATTACGCATTATAACATTGATTTAGTGAGTTGGTAAATACTTGTGTTTTGTTCATATTTCCTGCCTTGCCTCAAACCTTTCTCTGTCTAAGACACTTTCAATACACTGGGAAGCAACTTACAACAACAACTTGGATTTATATAGTGCCCTCCACGATGGACGGCGTCTCAGAGCGCTTTACAGTAACTGATCCCGGGGCCGAGCCAAGGGGAGGGGGAGGAAGGTGACCAAAGGCGCGGTCGAAAAGAAAGGTCTTCAGCCGCGACCTGAAAATAGGAAGAGAGGGGGTGAGGAAGGGAGCTCCAGAGCCTCGGGGCATAGTGGCTGAAGGCACGGCTACCGAGGGTGGAGCGGAGGACAAGGAGGAGGCCAGACCCGGTGGAACGAAGGCAACGGGCACTGTTCTGAGGAGAGAGGAGGTCAGAGAGGTAGGGGGGTGCAGAGCACTTGTAACCTACAAGTGGGGATACAGATTCCATACTGCCAATATGCTGATGATAATACATTTTATAATTTTATTTTCAGGGAAGGAAAAAGAAACCTGAAACCAGCATTTTTATTTTAACTTTATAACCCTCAGAATAAATGGATCGCCCGCAATCCAATGCTTCAGAGGCGGGTCTACCATGTCATGGCAGCCGTCAGCAGAAAACTTTATGTCCTTGGAGGGAATGACTTGGACTACAACAATGATCGGATTCTCGTTCGCCAAATTGATTGTTATAACATTGACACTGATCAGTGGGTCCGCTGTCATTTCAGCTTACTCACAGGTAGGTATTTCTAACATTTTAGCTTGGTAGGAGAGCACTCAGCTCTATGATGACTGGACCACTTAATGCAATTATACAAATGTCCTTCCCTGGCTCCACTGGCAGAAGGAAGTGGCCTGCCAAACATTTGCACTTCTCTGGGTGAGTCTGTTTTAAATCAATGTTTTGTTTCCAGCTTTTTCTTGATTGAATATTCCTTGATTATGGCATAAATCAGGAAATATTCAATCAAGAAAATTTATTTTGTTGGCCGACCAAAAACCCCAAAACTTGGCCACCACTGCCCAAGAGGATTGAGTTCAAGATGGTTCAAGATCGAGTTCACCTTGCTAAGCCAGTCTGGAACCTTGGGGTCTTGTTTGACCCTCAACTATCCTTTCAATTCCACATCTGTGCCATAACCCGCCCTGCCTTCCCCCACCTCCGCAATATCGTCGAGCTCCGACACTGTCTCACACCGCAGGCTACCGAAACCCTCATACACGCTTTCATTACATCGAGGCTCGACTATGCAAACTCACTGCTTGTCGGCCTCCCCAACTCCTCCCTCCACAGGCTGCAGATCATCCAGAACTCTGCAGCCCGTGTCCTCTCCTGCACTAGGCTCCGTGACCCAATCACACCCATCCTTGCCCAACTCCACTGGCTTCCGATCACACAGAGTTCAAGATCTTAGTCCTCACCTTCAAAGCCCTCCACGGTCTTGCTCCCCCCTACCTCTCTGACCTCCTAACCCCCTACTACCCTGTTCGCTCCCTCCACTCAGTGGGCTCCGGCCTGCTTCACATCCCTCCGCCTTGCCCCCTCGCTTGCATCCTTCAAGACCAACCTCAAGATCCTCCTGTTCGACCGTGTTTTCGATCTCTCTCTGCTTTCCCCCCCCCCCCCCCCGCCCCCTCCCACACCCCGACCCTCAGCCCGGGTCCATAACTCTGTCTGTCCAGCACCTTGGGACATCCTCCCAATGTGAAAGGCGCTATACAAATGTAATTTTTTTGTTGTTGTCCTCATGTTTAAATCCCCCCCTGGTTTTGCCCCACCCTACCTCTGCGACCTTCTAAACGTCTCTCGGCAAGCACTGTCCTGCTTTATGTCCCCTGTCCAACTCACCCCACCATCAGCGATCAGGCTTTCAGCATTTCTGCCCTTATGCTCTCGAACTCCATCCCAGTCACTCTGCCTCTCTCCTTCCCTCGCCTCTTTCAAGCTGTGTCTCAAGATCTTCCTCTTTGACTATAAATTCGGTTGTCTTTCCCCAACCTCCTTGGCATCCATCCCCCAGCACCTGTGCAAATATTTTGGTCATCCAATGCCCTGAGACTTCCTCTGGACGGGAATGCAATTTGTTGTTTGATTTTACACCCCATCATATCTAAAATTATCCTGCTCAGGATAACATATAGTCTTCATATACACTGGGTTAGTTATGCAGTGAAACTCGCTTATGTCTTATCTTTATAAATCGTAGAATCGCCCAAGTCGTACATTCACCCAAGGCTTATTCAGTTTCTTATCATGTGTACTTACCGGCTTCATTGAATCACAAGAAAGGTAGCCTTGATCTATTGGTGCATACGCAGAAGAACTTTATTTTCCGTGATTCAATACGATTTTAATGCTTGCCAGTAAGTGCGCATGCGGCAACGGATTGAGACACATTCAGTTGCGGTAAATGTAGTCTTGACTCGTCACCGCATGCACACTTACCTGTGGTAACAAACTACCATGTGTGTGCTTACCAGCTGCATTGGTAGCATAAATTACACACGCCCAGTGTAGATTATTAATTAAATCGGATTTTATACGATTATAGTTTGCCTGCAACTCAGACTTCGCGCAAGTCACATTAAATATTATGGTCCTGACTGATACGACTTATGTGAGTTTTACTGTACCCAACCACTATCGCAAAGAATGTGTCTTTCACCTTTTGGTGTTTCACCTCCTCCCATTTGTTATACTTTGGCTGTTTTTTCATCTGATCCCATAATAATCCTTACATTTCAAGCAGAGTTGTTCATCCCCTGAGATTTGGATGACTGCTTTGCATCCAGGCTCTGAATTAACAAATGAGTTGTGACCCATAAGAAAGATAAATCTGTGATTTACTTCAACTGCTTGCACTTCCTACACACCATCAGGTCTGCAATGGCCTACAGATTGAATAGCAGAGAGAATAGGCTTGCCTCTCCAGGGAAATATGAGAAAATCCATTGAAACATTACGTTTTTTTCTTTCCAAGACCACGGACAATGAACCTGTACCTAACTTTCTTCATCTTTGGAGGGAGATAACAAACTTCTCTAAAATATCTCAACTTCATCTAGAAAAATTTCAAGGCATCATTGCAGTCTACAGTATTGAACCCATTATTTGACATCCGACCGATGCTATTTCTCTGGTTCTAGAAGCACATGAACCGTAGTATTCCATACTGTGTTTGGTTATCTACATTTGTTCTCCCCTTATAAACCCTAAACTCTAATCAAACATTTATCTGGCTCTTTATTTAAGGAATCAGTAAAGTTTGCATTATCTGCTTTGGTACTTACTTTCCTTGTCTCTGGACCAGGGAAATGTGTGAGTCATAAAGCCCACATGAGATGCGTTAATGTTAATCTATTTGAAAAGAGAAATGAGTTTATCCTGGGGTCCTAGCTAATAATCCCTCAGACAGAATTGGTCATCGACGTCATGTATGTTTGTGAAACATTGCTGTATGCAAATTGACTCCCACATTTGCCTACAAAAGTATGCAGTCAGTACAATCCTGTGAAGTGCTTTAAGATATCCTCCCGACTTGAAAGGCACTAAATCAAATACAAACATTATTATTTTAGGAGACTTGTTTTCAATTTGAATATATTCTTTTTCATTGTGTTTGTCTATATGTGCGTGTGTATATATAGTAACTGAGGAAACTATTAGTAGACTCGCTGTGAGATCTGTAACACTTGTGTTGGCCTGAGAAGAGACTGAGTGAAGTACAGGAATAAAATATGGAAATAGGGTGTCACGAATAACAAAAACGTATCATGTGGTCTGCAGCTCCACACAGGTGGTATGTACTGTAGTGAGAGATTTTTGATCTTGTCATGAATGCAGTAACATCTCTCACTTCAGACATTTTTGTTAGATTCTAGGGTGTTTATTGTCAGGTGAGTGAGCTAACTGATCTGTGTTTTGTATTCTTTCATTTAAGGCCAAAATGAATCGGGTTTGGCTGTGCACAGTGGAAGAATCTATTTGGTTGGTGGGTACTCTATCTGGACAAACGAGCCATTAGCCTGTATTCAGGTAAGTACATTAATGGATCACTTGTTCCTTTGTGTTTTTGTTATTGGCAGAAGACATGAGAAGAAAATAATGATAATAATAAATCTCTTTTAAGCATTGTTTTTAAAATCAGAATTGTTTTAAAAAAGTCAATAATCATACAAGATGTAGCACAAACTATCTGAAGCAACAACATGGCAAAATATAGCAATGGATAGAGGAATAAGACTGTCATAAACTAATTTGTAATGTGCTTAGACCCAGCTGTTCCAATTCTTCATGAATAACTCGTGTTAAAAGGGTATATATAGTTTTATTTAGTACAGTGTGTAGCAAGTTTATGATGTGCATATTTCAAGTTTAAAATCCAATCAGCAAAGACCGACACTTGAAGGAAAAATAATGTGTGATCTGCATGAGTAAAATATATGTGAGGAATATGAATGGATGATTATTTTCAACTAAAAGTGTTTCCATAGCGATTTGTGGTGAAATATAAATAAATCAACTTAACATAAAATCTGGTTAGTTTACTTTTTTTTGTTTTATTTAGGTACTAGACGTCAGTACTGAAGGCAAGGAAGAGGTGTTCTATGGGCCAACACTACCGTTTGCTTCCAATGGGATAGCAGGATGCTTTCTCCCAGCCCCGTACTTTACATGCCCTAATCTTCAGACCCTGCAAGTGCCTCACCACCGGATAGGTGCTATATGAGAGGAGCGTTTAAGGCAAGGGCTCACAACCAAAATTTAAGGGCGAGGTCCAAGTTACCTCATTCATTGATCCTACCAAGGGCCAGATGAGACTGAAGAAACATTGCTGGCTCTTGGATAAATGGCTTAGGAATTTAGCTCTAAATTGTAGTTGCCCCCTATTTGGAAACATCTATTCAATCTGTTGATTCTTTGGCTCAACACTGGTTAACGTTCCTCTGGTTCAACTATGTTTGATCATATTTTCCATCGTATTAATTCGCTATCATTTTTCTACTTGCGTTCATTCAAACTGATTCAATGGACCTGGATTCTCTCTTCTACCTACTCAGTCTCTCTTGTTTTTCATTTTCTTGTGTTTCTCTCCCCTTTTGGTTTGTAATTTCTGTTATGTTGTTTTTAAAAAAAAGAGAAATTTTTTATCCTTTTCAACATCTCATTCTCAGTGAGCACAGTGAGTGTGGCCCACCCATATATGGTTTACCTGTCTCTATTGATTACTTGCTTTTAAGTTCAGAGGGAGTGAAAGCAACATATCACATAGGTCTGATCAGATCACTTTTGTGCACACACCATTTCCCTCAGTACCTAGCAACATTGCTGCCAGTTTGGCATAGCTTTGCAGCATGGAATTAGACCCAATTTGGAATCCCTGGCTCTCCAAAAGGGGCACTAGTTGGTACCTGAGGATTGTGAGATTGTCAGATGTAAAGAATACACAGAACTATGATAACTACTACTCCTGTTGAGAAAACCTGGTTTGTTGGGAATGCTATGATGGTGACAAAGCAAATCCCAATAGTATTTACAGATTATGTGATTCCATTAACCAAGACAAATGTGATGCCACACACAGAAAAGCTTCTCTCTCTAAAGGCTACACTGGTATTCCTTTTGCCTTTTTTGTGTCTGTGGAGGTTTTGTCAACATGTAGTAAATGCTTGTGGATGTATTTGCATTAATGTCCCAGCCATTAGTCATGCTTTTCTTACCCTCCAATTATTTGAAGTCAGTTACATTATGGATGTTTCCGTCCCCCCATCCCATAATAGTGTGTAAGACAGTGAGCACTAATGTAGTCGTTCTGTGGTTCATCAGCGAATATGATTTCTCATCAACAAATTAGTGTTTCCCAGCCAAGCATGGGAATGTTGATCTATGGCTACATCCCTTAAGGCCTATTAATTTTCAGCATAACATACAAAATGTGACAAAAGTTTTGAATAACATCCATTCTTTCACAGCTCTGGGTAGTTCTAAGTAAACATATTGCCCTGACAGCTTTTAACATTGTTCTACATATTTTTAAAATATATATTTCAGTGGGACATTCTTAATTTGCGCTGCTGCTGATTGGCTTGAATTTTACTGGGCAAACCCGTAACAAAAAATGAGAGTTCAAAGATCAGTAGCACTCATACAGTAGTGCTCTGGATGAGATGTTAAACCGAGGTCTTTTCTGCCTGTTCGGTAGATGTTAAAGATCCCTTGGTAGTCCTACATTTCATTTTTGTAGTTCTGAAGTTCTGGTGAGAGATCTGGGTGATTAGAAATGTTAATTACCCCAAATCCATATATCCATGGGCTTTTGCATCGAAGAGATCTTCTTGGATTCGCTGTTTTTCAATATCTCGACATTGAGGGTTAGCAGCTGTGTCGGAGAGGGAGGAGGTCAGCAATATGTCACCTACTATTTTGAGGAATCTAGATCTTCAGGCCCACGGCTGTGACACAGCTGTGTTTTTCTTTCCTTTCCTCCACATTGGGTTTTCTTTATTTGATCTTTGTTCTGTCTCCATTTTTTTTCCTGTCATTTCTTTTCCATAGTAGTACTGACTTCAAGATCCTTCATTTTGAGTGTTTGGATCTAGGTCTGAATGTGCTGTAAATTTCTGTGGTTTTAAAAGTTCTAAATAACTCCCAATTAAATGGCATTCATTAAATTTTAAGTCCTGTAACCACCTTTGTGGAGGAATCAAAATAGTCAAATGGAATCTGTAGTTTGAATGTCAGCAAGCCAGACCATGAGATGAAAGTTTGTCTCACAGCTTTTCTACTGCAAGTTTCAGCCAACATTTTGAACTTTCAAAATCACTCTTCCACTCATACCACCTTTTATATTTCTAACAAGAGGAAGATCTGTCCCACCAAACCACAGTGTAGTATAAATGCATCATTCATTCTCTTTTGTTTCTTACTGGAGTGAAATACGTTTGACATATACCAGTATAATATTTTGCCAAATATTCAAATCAATGAGTTTCATAGACTAAATCTAGGATTATTTTACAATCCTTTTTTTAAAAAAATAGGTTTTTCCTAGAATTATAGTATTCTGCAACTGCTTCTTGAAATGTTTTCTTAAAAAGCATTTGGAAAGAGGGGAGTTACTGCCCTTTTTACAGCATCTTACTAAAATAAGTTTTTATCTGCCTTATTTAGTGGTGTAGGAATCGAAGGAAGCAAAAGTTTGAAACCTCCAATGCCTGTGAAGTCTGTTTCACATGTTCAAGTATTCTGAAGGTAGAGTATTTTATTACATGGGTAGAAGTTATTTCACTCAGTGAAATTATGGAGATAAAAGTGGTAGTTGCAATTAGTTATCACTTAGGCGTCTAGATTTCATGATGCATTTGACGATGGTTCATGTTACATCCATGTAATAAATACAACCATGTTTCATTGTTGGTTCTGTCAAGGTGGGAATGTCGCTAAATGACCTGTGCTCATGGCACTCGTGATTTATGAATGTTTCCCATTCATGAAAACTCCATAATGCAACACCAATAGGGTACATTTCACCTAGTTAGTAAATACATATTTTATAGAATGTGTTTTATTCTCATTCAACTTTAAATACTTTCATTACTGTGATTTTTATAGACTGTTGTATGAATATTTAAAACTGTATGCTGTAGTTTATTACTAACGTTCAGTACTGTAAGGACTAATTCCAATATTTCAAAGATGGAATTTACATACACTGGTGTGGAGTGCAGGTGTGATCTAGTGGAATGATTCATCAATGGCTGCCTGATCCGGGTGGCATTGGAGAACATCTTGTTATATTGCATAAAGCTAAGGACTGAAAAGCTTTTCAATTTATCTTGGAACAGAAAAACACAGTTAAGCCTTTTGAACAAAGCTTTGCATGACAGGCAGCTAGTATTATGAGCTTCCTTAACAAAAAAAACAAACTATGTGTGATATCTATTTTGTCGATGCCTGTGTAATAGTTTATGTAAATACGAGCACATTAAACAACAGTTTATGTGCAGTAAAGCTAAAGTATGTTCCATAATCTATTCTCTATGTGGCTGATTTCTTAACATAAGGTATTTTGTCTTTGATTATCCTTAAAGATTATACAGCAAGTAGTTTTTCATATCTGTATTGCTTTGCTTATTCAATAATTCATTCATACATATATCAAGATATTTGCATCAAGCTATGAGTTATAGCTGCATTACACACACCATCTGGGAAACCACCTCCCATTTCAACTTAAGGGAGTGAATACCTAATAAGCCAGTCACTGAGTTAGTGGTTGTGTCGTGTCTCCTGACTAGGGGACACTTGGTGAAGCCTCTAAGTATAGAGATCAGGCTATTAGAAAGTAAAACAAAAAATGTGCAATATTAGTGTTTCAAGTACTGTTAAATACAGTGACTAACATGGCATTCATTTTGCCACAGCAAGTTCCTAAAATGGTCAGAATGATGCCCAATTAATCTAAAATCAATTTTTCTGAATAACATCATGGTATCTTTAACATCTAAAATAATAATTCTAATAATCATTATTTGTGATCACATTACATTTGATACAGCACCTTTGACATTGGTAGGCCATCCCAAAGTGTTTCACAGGATATCCCGTAAAGGCTAGTGCGTTTTTTGTAACAAGTGATCCACGTGAAAAGGGTGGCACCCTCGACAATACAGCATTCTCCCACTGGTACTTACCTAACTGAGCCCTGGCATGGAACCTCCTCTTTGCTAACAATGGCTGCTGTTAGTTGATCAGAGGAATGGTCATCCAATCAACTTTATTAAGGTGTGCACAAAAAACATTCTTCAGGCCAGGTCAAAGTGAAATCAAAAAGGTTATACAGTACAGAAGTAACGTGGAACAAGAAATGTTTCAACGTCTCAAACCCATTCCTGCCTTATCATCATCATGTACAAATTGATCCCTCGTGGACTCTTTCGCCATTTATCAAAATCTACAATTTTTCTCCAACTCCCATCAATTCATCAAGTGAAACTCCATAGCATGTAACACAAGCTATATTTCTCAAGGCTGAATACATGCCTTCTGCAGATTAGAATTCACTGCAGCAAATTACAAAAACAGTTTGATCATCAATGAGGCAAATGCGAAGCTAGGTTTTATGGCAAAAACTCTGGAATTTAAAATGAGATGCTTTTCCAGTTAGCTGGTGAGAAATCATTTGGAATAATGGGCTCAGTTTAAGGGCAGCCAATCTTAGGAACGATGTACTAACCATGGAGGGTTTGGATTGCACTTTTCAAGTCAGGGGATGCCTCAAAATACTTCAGTGCTGGCAGATGAAGGAAAGAGAAGAGTTCCTCCCACTCTATGGCTAACAATCCCACAAATTGGCTGTCAAGCTCACCCACAAAGCACAATCACTGCACTTTATAGTATATCCTGTGTAGATCTTTGGGGCACCATGCTGCCATAAAGGCACTACACCAAATTAAGTTTTAAGGTAGGCTTTCAATCTGGGGAGGGAAGAAGGGAGTGAGTCAGAGGGGCATTAAGATTAAGTTCCAGAGAATGAAGGCAGAATGATTAAAATGTGCCCCCTAAAGATCTTAACTTCCTAGTCTACCGATGCATGTTCTTTTGAATCAGGTCTCCAGCATTCTGTTACACTGAGTGCAAGAACTGTCGACAAAATCTTCTTTGAGATGTTAGACCGAGGTCTCATTTACCTGGTGGGTGTTAAAGATCCTATGAAATTACTCATAATGAGAGGGGAATTTCTCCCAGTGTCCTGGCCAACAATCCCCCACATATGACAGTTCTGTTTGTCTGCCAGATTTGGCTGTAATATTCAGTCATTACATTTTACAGTAAAATCTTGTCAAATGCTTTGAGATGTCTCCCTTATGTGAAAAGAGCTGAATCAAATGCAAGGATTATTTTGACTTCTGGAGCATAATTTAAAAGGATTCATTTTGAAATCTCCACATTTTAGATCGAATATTCTGAAAGCAATCTCGTTAATCAATCAAAGTTAAAATAATTTATTTCAAACCATTAATTGTTTTAAGGACTTCTATTTGAAATTCATA